GCAAACATAATAAATCTTATTTTTTTTTGGGGCAGATTAGATAACTAACCCAAACATTTGATCGAAAAATATGTAATTTGCACACGATTGCTCCAGACCAGGGAAATTTCATCAATTATGCTTTCCCCAAACGCTTTAATACGCAACATTGCGCCTAATTGGAGCGTATATCATCTATTATTTAATATTTCCCACTCGGTTTATTGCCTGGCATCCTGGAACGGAAAGAGAGAGAGAGGGCAAAGAAAACAACAGAAATGCTAATTTGTGTCAGATTTAGGAATAAAGTAATACTTAGACGGGCAATTCAACGTGAAACGGTAGGGTCCAAGAAATTGGTAGCTTAGGGGAGAAGCTCGATAGAAAAATAATATTGCTGCTCAGATTTACTTTCAGACACATAAATATTTTATTTCTAAAAAATATTTAGGCTTGGTTATAACAAATAGAAGTTCAGTTGAACTCTACTAATTTTTTTGTTGTTGAGCAAATGTCTATTAAATTCCGAATAGCACTGCAGCCGGAGGCTTATTGTGCAAAATCTTCCTGTTTAATGCACCCATTCCAAAACCCTGGTTTTCTGCAGTAAGCGGAGTAGGTCTGTTGTGGATGTTTGCCGTATTTGTCTGGATCTAGTTCATCTTCTCCAAATATATTTTGTCTTTTGCGAGTTAGTACCTTGTATTCTGATATAATGTGTTGGGCTGTTTCGGTCTCTGTTCCGCATACTCGGCAGCCCGTGTCTCTTTTGTACAAGCCCATTGTTTGCAGGTGTTTCTTTACTGGTGCATGCCTAGTAAGAAAACCTGTTGCTACTCTGAGTTGATTCCTGCTTAGTTGTAGCAGTATTTTTGCTCTGTTGCTGCATGTCTCACGTATGAAGATTTTTCCATGTGCTCTTTCTTACTGCTTTACAGCCTTTTCGTTGCCCGGGATACCTCTATGTCCTGGCAGCCACATCAATGTGACGTTATTTTCTTCCGCCAAGTTGTTGAGTTCTTCTCGGCATTCTATTACTAGTGCAGAGTTTGCCTTAGGGTTCTTTAAGGCATTCAGTGCTGTCTGACTGTAAGTAAAGTGAGTCTCCTGTCTTTGCAGGCCCTCATATTGTTGATTCTTGCGAATTGTAGTATTTAGTGATTCCCACGAGACCATCGAGACGAGACCTTCATAAAGTCTTGTAATCTTGTCTCGCCGCCTCGAGTCTCATCTCGTCTCGAACGAGAGTAGAGATGAGACCAATAAAAGTCTCGTCTCGTCTTGTCCGAGTATTGTCTCTATTCTTGTCTCGAAAACGAGACAAGACCATGCGAGACTCTCAAAAATGAGACTCCTGTGGGCACCACTACTTTCGGTCGATTTTTCCTTTTTATTCTATACACAATTGGCGTAAACTTGTCTTCGTCTAATCTTGTTTTTTTCTGAAAATTTGATTTTTTGTTTTGATTTGTGATTAAAAAGTGACATAAATTTTAAGATGGCGTCCGATGATGACGACGTGTCGGATTTGGAATGTATTATTGGCGTTACTACCCACAAGAATGATAGAAAGTTTAAATCGTCTGTTATATAATTTAAAGAGTGTTAATTTTAGTGGCATGCAGACGTAATAATTAAAAGTTGATGAGAAATTTTCTTGTCTCGACTGGGATTTGAACCTAGGACCCCTATATTTCCAGTGTAACGCTCTACCAACTGAGCTACCAAGACCTGTTTCATTTCTACCTTGTCAATCAAGTCTTTCATCAATTTTTAAGTTGTTAGTTGTGACCATCGGCAACCTTCGGCGGTTACCGTTGGTTGGGAGTGAGTTAGGAGGTATGGGGAACATATTCGCAATTAATGGTTGTTTTTGGAATCCATTATCCCTTCAACCAGGATGCGTCGTCGACATATAGCGACATCGGCAGGCATCGGTAGAAGAGAAACAGGCCTTGGTAGCTCAGTTGGTAGAGCATTACACTGAAAATGTAGGGGTCCTGGGTTCAAATCCCAGTCGAGACAAGAAAATTTTTCATCAACTTTTAATTATAACGTCTGCATGCCACTAAAATAAACACACTAGAAAGTTTAAATGTTGTAGTGAAAAGTCTTGTAAGTACTATTTATGTGTTACCTGCGAAGAAGTTTTTCATGGGAGTTGTGCAAAGAGGAATAATTTGAAGTTTATTAGCAAATCTCGTGTTCAGTGTTGTGATTGCAGCGGTTAACCGCCTAAAGTTGACACGGATGTAAATAGAGATGTTTTAACCGATTTAAAACATGAAAACGAGAAGTTGCACAGTGAAGTTTATTAAAGAGTCTAATCGGATAAATGTCCGACAAGAATACCGTTTGAAGGAAAACAGCCGCCTTTTGGTTCAGCGGATTTCTAACCTCGAAACAGTACGTAAACAAATCCTTCCAAACCCAAACCATGAAATTATATTTTCGATTCAGAAACTTGTATTTTTAAAAAACATTTATTTCATTAATTAAAATACAATAGTGACAAACGAAAATATGTGGATCAAATTGCTACAGGGAATGTCTGAAAACAAATGAACGCTCCTTAAGGGACTGCGCTGGCTCAAATGAAAAATATCTGCTGATGCAGCACTTACGTAGGCGGAATGGTGGTACTACCAGTGGAGTACCGCTGATCAAGCAGTTTAACATTATTATAAGTTTTGACATAGGCGTACGCTAATATATATGAAAGGAGAATTATTGATATAAAGATAACATAGGGTCTTACAATATAACTGTGCCAAGCATGACCCAAACCAAGGCAAAGGAGTAGCTGGAGCAGGAGCAGCCGGAGTAGGAGCAACCGGAGCAGAAGCAGATGTCACCAGCGAACGCGCGGTTCACTCTACCTACTTGTCGCTGGCTGCTTGTCAGAAACCGCGTAAACCGAGCGCAATGTCGGTCGTAGCTGAAATGCCTGTTCCTCCTAACCTCAAAATAGACAGCGGTGCCAGTAGTGCCGCCTCCGGTAGTGTAAACATCAACAACCCGGTTTCTTCGATAAGTATAGAAAAGGCCATCAACAGTGCAAATGTAAACCAAGCTGATGCTGACGACGGGTTTTCACTGGTGACTTATCGTCGAGGTAACAGAAGAGAGTTTCGGGGCACCTTTGGGGTCGATTCAGACCAGGAATTTGTGATTGCGTATGGCAGTAAGATGTGGTTTTATATTGGTAAAGTTTCGCATTCTGTTAGCTCTTCTATAATTCGTACATAACCAAAAAACTGCCTAATGTAAGTGAGGATAACTTAATTGTTGACCAACTTGAAACTTTAGGGAAGACAAATTCATTTAAAGTTGGCATCACTCCCGAATACTACAACGTAATGAATTCCTTTGGATTTTGGCCTAGCAAGGTAATTTTTTGAAGTTTTAATTTCAAGAGGAAATCTAATATATCCAGACACGATGGGGCCCAGGATTTCCGGGACCTAGCCGACAATCAGGAGTTATTAACAATCTGAATAGATCTATTAACAGTCTATTATCAGAATGTGCGCGGTTTGTGTACTAAATTAAATACATTGGCTAATTCTATTCCTCTAGTGTCATACCACGTTCTGGTTTTTACGGAGACTTGGCTGACTGAGGACTTTTATGATGCTGAACTGGGCATGGAGAACTATAGCGTCTTTAGGTGTGATCGTTCAACTTCCTCCAGCACTGCCGCCAGAGGGGGAGGTATATTGATAGCAATTCAAAAGAGTATTTTTAGCTCAATCTGCGACTCACCCAGGACTATTGAACGTCAGGGTGCACTCGAGGGGTAGTGGCAGTCTCAGTTCTGCAGCTGTTGCTGCTCAGTCTTCCTTAACCTCAGCTCAGAGCGTGAAGCCACCGAATGTTTATCCAATATGAGGGCTTACCACAACCTGTTCCAGATAAATGCATTCTCTAATGCTCGTGGCACTCTACTCGATCTCTACTTGGCTTTTTTTCACTTCATTTCCTGCTTGGGTCATGGGAACTTTTATCCAGCTTGGTCACCTACTTTTATCTTACTTAGCCGCCAGACGAAATCAAAGGGATTTATCAACATTCAGTGACCTGCTTTCCAAGCCAATGGAAAAATTCGTTCGGAAGACACTATGGTAGTTTGCTGAGGAGACTTTTGTTCCACACCTGATCAAAAGCCTTGGCGATGTCCAATGCTACAATTCTGGATTCGGCATGTTTTTCGTGGGTAGAGTTCCAAATATGACTTACGTACGCCATCAGATCTCCTGTTGATCTTTCAGAACGAAACCCGTGCTGTTTGTCAGAGATGAGCTTATTAGCTTCGAGGTATTTAACCAATTTCAGGTTGACTGCCTTTTCCATTACTTCCGAAAGTACGCATATAAGTGAAATGGGACGATAATTGCTGGCAAGAGTTTCCTTGCAGTTTTTCGGGATTTCCGGGTTATATACCGAAAGCTAAATAGAGGTCCTACGTAAGCCAGATTTCGAAACACCATTTTGTAAGTCATCGAAACTATTAGATGCTTCTCGGAAAAATATCATCAAACCCCAACCTGTACCATTACAGGTCTATACGCCACCGAAAATTTCTATTATTATTAATTCTCCTTGACCACATCTCTTGCTTTTATTATTAAACTTAGTGAATGATAAACCACGTTAAATCAAAACTGCGTATAATATACTTATAATACTATACATCTAAACGTAGATATTATATTAAACAAAAGAAGTAGATGTGATTCCAACAGAATATCAAAAAATCAAATTGAATCTTCACTTTTTTTATTTTCAATACAGCCAAATATGTAAAAGTGCTCCCCTTTTAATAAATATTTTCCACTCCCCAACCACGAAGAAAAAAAAAACAGAAACATTCCGAACTCTCCATTTCGATGAATTCCAATACCCAAAGAAATCATCATGCTGGATCGGGATATAGGGATTCTTTTAGAGATCCTGCGCGAAATGTTCAGGCATCCGAACCGTTCGGGAATTTAAATAGTTCAGTCAGTTTCAGTTTGGGACGCGGGGGCGGTTTGTCGGTGTTTCTCCCTATCTTTGATCTCTTATTTCCCGGATTTTATTTATTATTCGGTTAGGAGTAAGAGTTACGAGGGTAATTTCCAGTAGTGAGTGAATTTTAGTCGTGAAAAATATTGTGGATTTTTGGGAAGAAACTTTTGACTTTTTTTTATTGGTGGTTTCTATAGGAATTTTTAAACTGAGGTAAAGATGTTACATTTCAATCCATAAAGAATCTTCATACTTCAAAAAGAAAAATATAAATCCATTATCACTAAAAGCTGTGGTTTGTGAGAATTTCCTTTTCAGAGTGCCGTATTGTCAATTTTTTATAATAATAATACTGCACTCTATTTTAAAATATCGCCTGTTATAGACTTAGGGTTTGAAATGACTTCTCTGATTTGACAACATAAAATTTAAAAACATATCTATCTAAGAAGAAGTTTTAGAAAATATACAAGTAAAAATGCATTTTACCTGGTTGATAGAACCAACAAATTGCGGACGTCCTAACAAAATAAAGTTGTGATATTTCATTATACTACTGAGCGTATGAAAGATAAATTCAACTATAGGAAATCTGCCTGACAAAAATATGCTTTCAATATACTCAAGACGAGAATTTCCGATAGGAAATATTAAAACCCATCTCGTATGCGCACATCTGGGTAGCTGAGCTCACCTATTCCGCTGCAAACAGCCAAAGCTATTACAGAACTTCGAGAGAACCATAAGCCTATTATATAGCTTATCTCAAGTTTTAAAGGATGGGAAAATGCAGCTGCACAGCTACACTGTCGCTATCACTAGACCTGTGGGAAACAAATACGAACTTTCTGCTGCCCGGGGGAAAGTGTTGTGATAGTTTAACAGAACTTAGGAAAGACAGAGTGTCCTACTATGCTAAAGGGTATTTTTTTTTTTAGGTTTTATACTGAAAATCTGCTTCATTGAGATTAAGTTTTAACGAGTCCCTCTCATTTCGCATAAAATCGGCTCAACCTGCTTTGTTTAAGCGCCTAGAAAAACAATTTTTGTCCACGAATTATTTAAGTGAACATGACCTGTAGATTCTTTATTCCATTATGTTTATGGTTTATGTCAAATGTTGGTTGTTTGTTTTTTGTTTTTCCGATTTTAAACAGTCAACTTTTGAGATTTGAAATTATTATTGGATAAAATAATTTAAGTTGAAATTGAATAGATGCCTACATATTGCATATGGACATCCTTCGTGCAAAGAATTCCGGAGTTAAAATTCCACCCTATTCGGATCTCCGGTAGGACAATGTTCGAGTGGAATCTACATCAAGTTTAATAATTGAATTTTTTAGCATCAGAAGTATTAACAACAACATCTTGAGTACAATAATACACATATGCTGGTCACATCTTCCATGTCCCTACTATGAACTTCATACGCGAATTCACTTTAAGGGAGGACTTTGCGTCTTTTCTCGCAGTGAGCTCTATTGCCACAGAGAGGATGATCTCGAATCACCTGATAACGATGTAATTTGGATAAAAATTACTTCTACGAACATGGTTAAGTTTGTTTGCTGCGTTTATCTTTCTCCCCATGACTTCAGTTATGAGCTTCTACTTGAAAATCTGGCAAAGGACCCCGCACACTTCTTATGGGATTTTGGTTGAACGCGGAATTTAACCAAATTTTGGTATGTTGTATATTTCGACCTGCTGAGCAAAAGTTCTCATGGGTACAAACCGATCCTATAACTAGTTTCGGATATACAGGGGGTTTTCTAATACTACCTTAGGCAACCTAAGTACCTATATAAAGTGTACTTAAGCAAAAAAACTTACATGTATTGCTTTAAAAGTTGTTTATTTCATCTTTCCTTAACTAAAAATGTTTAGTAGGTGTTCGTAACTCTTCCTTTATATACCAGGGGCGTTCAAAAACTATGGCTATTACTAAGCTAAATGAGTTAATGACCAAAAATGTTCAAAAGTGTGAAAAATTGTGTACTTGTAGGTACTCAGGTACCTACGTTTTGTGATAAAAGTGACTTTCTATCTCAATGAATTCCAGTTCTCGCTACGCTTGTGCTAAAAACTTTTTGCCTCATGATCCCTTGGCCTAGGGTTTAAGTGTTTAGTTATTAGGTATACATACACTAGGTGATTTGTTTGAAAAATCTAAACAGCCATGGAAAGAAAAGCAATGAAAATTGTTTTTTCATATGTCATATTTCACTTGCTAACCATGAAAACCAAAACAGTGACCCTGTCAATAAAGCGAATTGTATTTTTTGTCACCTTTCTTGTGAAAATGGCAATTCGGGAAAGGTAATGTGCTACGTGTGCAATGAAGGATTAGAGTAAGAGTAAATCGCACTGTTTTATTACTGAAAGATGCCAAAGTCCGTAGATTGGCTGTAAAGCGTCGAAACAAGTTAGGATTTAAGGACGAAAATCTTATTGTTGAGAACTCAAGGTGGATTTTGACATTGAAAACTTTGAAACATAAACAATAACGCTTGGCCCTGATTGGTCAGAAAATGAGGTGTCCCTGCAGGTTGTAATCAGTTTTACAATGTATGAGGTGCAAATAGCATCTTGCGACCAATAAGCGGCATTGTTTATGTTTCAAAGTTGACAGTGTCAAGTCAAAATCTATCTTGGAAAAAAATACAGTATATAGTTTGTCATACTTCTATTTGTGTTTGTTTCAAAAACACACAAAGGCCCACCAAACAAGTACTTTTCAAAATACCCTCGTACATTCACATATATAGGCACCTAACTACAAACATGCACCTTTCTGTAAAAGGTCTAAACTTAATCAACATTTTTTAAAGCTACCTACCACAAATAAACGGAAAAAGCATTAAAATTCAATATTTTAAGATTGCCTGACGTAGTATTAGAAAAACCCCCGTATATCCGAAACTAGTCATCGGATCGGTTTGTACCCATGAGAACTTTTACTCAGGAGGTCGAAATATACAACATCCCAAAATTTGGTTAAATTCCGCGTTCAACCAAAATCCCATAAGAAGTGTGCGGGGTCCTTTATTTGATTCTAACCAGGAGACCCATCCGAACTTCGTGGAAGACTTTGATAACTCAGAACGGCTCAAGTTATCGAACCGAGCTGAAAGGATTGTTGAAGCATTTGCCATTTCACACGGCCTAACTCAGTTGGTAAAAGTGCCCATACGTGTTCTCGATTCCGCTTCTCAATAGGCAAACTTACTCGATTTGTTCCTTATCACTAATCCCGATCCTTACAAGATCGATGTGTTTGTTCCTCCACCATAGGTACTGTCGCACATTGGTTCTTTCTTGGACAACGTTCTATTTAGACCTAAAACTATTAGTAAAATTCTTTTGCAACTTGCCACTGAAAAGTCTTTTGGTCCTGACGGCATTCCACCAATTATTGTTCTCAAAACTTGCGTACAAGAATTGGCTTCAGTTCTTTGCGAAGTGTTTTCGCTCTCTTCAGTCGAGGCGTTTTCCCGTCTATCTGGACATGTGCCAGAGTGCAGCCCATTCCGAAAAAGGGCAAGAAAACTCTTCCCAGTAATTATTTTCCCATCTCACTCATATCCGTACTTTCAAAAGAAATGAAGGCAGTCAACCTGAAACTGGTTAAATACCTTAAAACCAATAAGCTTATCCCTGGCAAATAGTACGGGGTTCGTTCTAAAAGTTCAACAAAGTACCTGCTGGCGTACGTCAGTAATATTTGGAACTTGACTCTCGAAAAACATGGCGAATCGAGAATTGTAGCATTGAGAAACTCCAATGCTTTGGATCAGGTGTGACCCAAAGGTTTCCTCAGCAAACTTCTATCGTAGGGTCTTCCGAACGAATATTGCGATTGGCTGATACACTGCCTATTATTGCCGTCGTTCCCCAAGACTTAATTCTGTCCCATTACTGTTTCTCATTTTTATAAATAACTAGCTGACCCGGCGAACTTCGTACCGCCTCTGAATTATTAAATATCTCTGAGTTAAATACCTATTAAATGTTGTGTTAACGTATCTAGTAGCTGAATTAAATTCAGGTCAAACCATAGTCGCTTGCCAGTGAGTTCAGTGACGCATTTTAAGAAGCACTCCAGAGCTGCTCTAGAGCGCCCCGGGCTGTTTATAGGCGTTCCAGTGTATCAGAGTTTCGTGCAACTGAACTTTTTTTTGGGATAAAAAGTAGCCTATATCACTCCCCTCTATAGCCAAATTCGATTGACCGGATTAGATCCATCTGCTTCAATTTAAGTGAATCACACTGTGTTCAATTGAGGTTGGATCAGTGCACCTTCATCAACAAAAAAATGATCTAGATCAGAAGAATTGAACCCAAATCGATTTAATCTAGGTCAATCGTATTCGGCTTTATAGAGATACGTGGTATTAAATTCAAAATCGATCCAGCCGTTCTCGAATTTAAAAAATAATAAAGTTACTTTGGTTGAATGGCAAGCCTAAATAAATGAAATGTGGCAACGTTGTTTCATGCTGTCAAAAAAAGTTGGGTTATGTTGTTATGTAATATTGTAGCATTTTCAATGTCTTGGCTAATATGCTACTTTGTTTTGCTCTAGTGGATATGATTCTATATAGAACTGAAAGAAGTAAATGAATAAACAACTATCTTTTCTGTGCCCAGATTTTGTTACCTTGAGTACTGCCTTCTACTGAAAGTTTTTTGGTTCAGGTTTGCGATTGTGGTTAATTGATCTAGGAAGGTTTGATTCAGCACGGCAGGGCCCGCTGTTATTGATTAGAATCTTAGGAAAAGGAGGTAGTACCATCATCATCTCTGTTTGCAAATCCAATCAAATAATCTGAGGTTATGATAATAATTGTTGTTTACTCTTTGATTTTTCATTTCGATCATGTCATTGAACAGCTGTTTTGTCTAGGCGTTTTCTTTGACCTGTTCTTCTTTTTGATATATGTTCTATAGGCATTTTTCAACATTCACCAGTCATTTTTTTCACAACCCACTTTCAGTTTGACAATTGGAGCCTTCTTTCAAAATCTAAGTGAAGAATCAGCCCTTTTGATCTTGAGACTTGAGACTGGAAGGTCGGCCTCGGCCGTCTCGGCCCTAATTGTTTTTGGGGCGAGACTTTTTGGAATTTTGTGCCAGGGAGCTTGAGTTTTAGACTAATTTCTTGTTGATACTTGTCTAGAGTCGTCCCTTGGTCATTTTGAATTCTGTTT